TTTGTCGTCACCGAATAGTAAATATTGGATGTAACATGGCAGGAAGAACTAGATGATAGCACACAATACACGAAGTTTAGAAAGTGTAAGCCCCATGAGGAGGTAGTACCCTACGTCATGTGTTTATGGATTGTATTTATTCACACCTCATATGTCGAGGTGTCGTATATATACAAAGGCTCTGAGTACCCTCGCTTCAAGGAGAACATTCCAACTTAGACAGGATGGACTGAGTATGCAGAACAAGAGGCCTTAATGGGATGGGGGCACTGGGTACCTATACTACTTGGAGGACAAGGCATCAACTATATATACTTGAAAGCCAATCAATATGTAGAGATCCACTCAGATCTGACTCCTATTTCCTTGGAACAAACTGGAAAACCGCCGGATACGATTAGGATTGCTCTATGTAAACCCTACCACCGGACTATATAAGGAGTGCTAGGGTCCCATTGCTCTAACAAACATCAATACCCCTACAAACCTTAGTGCATAGCACATAGAGAAGTTTTCTTCATTGGACTTAGGGCACCTTGTATAAACCAGTATAAATTTATGTCTCGTGTGTTACTCCTCTTATTCCCCACTAGCCACATCGGATCATACAATGGTGATGTGCTGGCTGACACTAATGACTAGTTTGGAATATACTAGAATATGTTGTGTTGTATGATATGCCGATGGACCCACTGTCTCACCAGATCATATGGTGCAGGATATAGACTTGGCCAACTGGTTACAAAGTCTAGCTTGGCCCACCAGATGATCTATCAAGGTCACATAGTTCTCCATCGAATCATATGGTACACTCCAGTAACCATGACACCAAATCACTAAGTCCAGTTGAACTTTCAACAGATGATCCGTTGTGGTCACACAATCCTCCGATCCACCAGATCATACAACGCTCACATGGTAACTAGAGCTAAGTCCCTTCAACCTAGGAAACAGTACCACCAGACATTCCTCCATGAGTCAACCCTACCATTCGGTTATATCTATCCTTGTTTATAGCCCGTTTCAAGTTTCATCTCAACCAATCCAATTTCTTTGAGATTTTTGACTTAAAACCGTCTTGATGGGGCCACTTGCCATCATCAAATCGATTGATAGTTAGCCTATTGTGCATCCACTTGCTCTCTCTACGACTCTGTCAAGTTGAACGCCTTGAACTCTTCTTAATAGTATAGCCAAAGAAAAAAAAATCCCTAATACACAAGACTAGCAAATGTCACCATGCATGCAACCTACATTCACTCTATAGTGTCCTTAGTCTTCACAAATATCTTTTGCACCATGCTTCATTCAATCACCAAGCCTTAGGCCCAAGACACTTGTGGCCATTCTTATTGTGACTAACGCAAATGCATTCACCACTACAAAACACATGTTAGTATTAATACATCTTCTCATAAATAATTAAAATCCCATAATCACCACAATGGAGCCTAGGTATGTTCAACAGGGAGATTAGACGGGGCAGGCAACCCCTCAAATACCTTTTATATACCACATTTGCAAACCTCATAAAGTGGGAAAAGGGTATATGTATAAAACTTGGTCACAGGTAAAATCAAGTGTCCATGCTCCTTATAGTCACAAAAGAGTGCTTATTTGAATAAGGGGGGAATTGTTTTTTTTTTTTTGCCCATGCAACTCTAAAACTAGAAATTTTGTACCACCGAACTATCAAATCAGAATAATTTGGCCATCTAACTAGTTTCGGTGATGGTTTTGTATTTTCTAGAAACAATAAAAATCATTTTTTCTATAAGTTCATAACTAATTTATTTTAAATTTGAAAAAAAAATGAAAGCAGAATAAAAAAACTTTTATAAAAATATGATGTGTCTATGGGTTGTAAATTTGGAATTATTTGGATCTTATTCGTATGTATTTATGACCATTGTTTCATTGTCTATATTCATGCTCATTACTTATGAAATTCATCATTTGCGCTATATTAAACCTAGAGATCGACCAAACGAATACATACTCCAAATAGAGTACTAAATACTATGCACCAGTTGGCAAGATTTGTTGGACAAGTTTTTTTAGACGAACGAAGTATTATATTAGATTATAGCTGGGTACATCATCACGTTACAAACACTCTGAAATATACTACATATATTCAGAAAGTGATTTTCATCTATATTGTACTCACGTTGTGAATAGCTCTAAATCTCAAATCCAAACCTATATGACACTTTGTATGGATGACCGCATAGGCAAAACACTCGGCATAAGGCCTGAGAACAGCTACCCAACGGATAATGGCAAACACTTTCTTGTGTCTTCCTTCGTTCTGCCACCGAAGAATGAGGAAGACTGATGTGAAACTTATTCTCCCCATTCCTTCATCGTGGCCAGATCTAACCACAACAAAACGGAGAACGGACCAGAAAAATTTATTCCATGGCGGCGACATTATCTCTACCTTGATGTCACCGTTCGAAAAGAAAAGTCTCCATGTTGTCATGACGAGGAAGTTGTTGACGCCATAGTTGTCGCCCTCATTTTCAACGGAACCGCCATGGAAAAAACGAATCCAGCCTGCTCCCTCGCTATCGCCGGACAGGAGAATGAGAAGATAAATCCCCAATACAAGAAAGTTAACATGGAGAGACACTAACTCTAAAGACTTGATCTACTGGAAAAAAAAACTTATTAAAAAACGATGGATTTTCACTCCCTCTGCCTCCGGCGAGATATCGGAGGGGGATGGGACCAACGATGATAGAGGCGGCGGTAGGACGGGTCACGAGACAAAGCGATTTGTTGGACATGTTGAGAACCAATGCGCACCATATGCCCTCCCGAACATTCACACCCACTCAATTTCTTTTTCACGCAACAGGACTGCACGATGTAGCCACATCGATCTACGTTACGTGACGGGACCAAAAGCAGGGTTCATTTGCGGCGAAAGTAAATCCATGTAATAAAGAATTTGGTGGCGCGGTTTTGTTGAGAAGAATATGGGTAGATAGATGTCTCTGGCCGTGGAACCTACTCAGATCCAATGAACTCAGCAACTAGCAAGCAGCAACCACGTACAGGTTCAATGAACAAGACGAGAGAGAGAGCCAGGCCGGGTAGCCACATGGGCATGCACGCAGCACCCCGTCCGCCGGAATGATTGGGTGGCCGCCTGATCTGCTTTGATGTGCAGGCGAAGGCGACAGTAGCTAGGATAGGATGCTGCTCTAGCGGTCGCCTTCGCTGCGGCCTGGCTTGGCTTGGATAGGCACGCGCCCATGAGCAGCCTGCTTGCCTGAACAAGGCAGACACAGACATCGCTTGTGCCTAGATTCCCGCGGGAAGAAATGCTTGTTCCATCCGAGGACGAGGAGAGGGTTGACAACGATATGAATATATATATGCTCTCAATCTCAAAGATCTTTTTCTAGTATCAGATTTTTCAAAAGCATCTGGATGCATATCTAATTCTGAATGTAGCTGAAGGCATTTGTTTTGCTTTTTTAGGAGCCTCCAGTATCATCCTTCGTAACAGAGTGGCATCTTGTAGCATAGACTCATCATTGGTGTGAAACTGTGAACGAACATATATACCAGCCGGATCAGATTCAGATCGGAATGATACCATGGAGTCCACCGGAATCCGAACCCATGATTGCCAAAATCCAGCAACTTGGAGGAATGCCTCCTATCTATCTATCTATCTATCTATCTATCCATCCATCCATCCAGTGAAGTGCGGCCTCCCGAATGCTGCCCATCATGCGCTAAAGTCAGGGATGATTCACCATCCATGGCCACAGTTCTCGCATGTTCCAAACCCCTGGCCCTCTCTCTCTCTCTCTCTCTCTCTCTTTCTAATGGAGGTCTACCTGGACGCTTCACGCAGCCACAAGTCCCCGACCGCATCCTACCCTACTCGGCCTACTCGATCTTTTTTATCACAGACACTTCATTGTTTGGGACTTGGGAGGATTCTTTATGCATGTAACACACTGTCGCACATACGGTAGTAGTAGCATGGGGGCGGCAGGAATCGTAGAAAAAAAAAAGGCAATTTGTTTGCTCACTGTCACTGAGGAATGCTAGCTGCTCCTATATATTGAGTCCTGATTGGGTTTGGGATGTTGATTGGTGAGAAAGTGCTTATCATGAGCTAGTGCACTATCATAATTTCCTTTCTGCACAGGAAAGGCGAATTTGGCGGTATGGTGTAAAGTTATGCTGATCCCACTTTATACCAACTAATTACAGCCTGCTTATGAAAAAGTTCGTGCCAATTGAGCTACTAGCCATTTGGTTCTGTTTCATCAGCAGATTTTACCTCTCGCCTTTTCTATCTACCTATGCAATGGCCAATTGGCCACCCAAGTCGTTATCTCTGAGACTCTGACTGACCAACAAGGATGGTAAATGGTACAATTCACTCGATCAGCATGAGGTTTGGATCCCCTTTCTCTTTGGTGAAAAAGAAAAGTTTCACTCGGCGGTGCCTCTTGGTGAGCCTGAGAAGCCACAATCAGATGTCCATGAGGATGAACTATTATTACAATTTACAAGACAGTTAGGAACACGCATTCAGAAATCCTTGTTAGGGAGGAGAAAATAGAGACAAAGCCCAAAGCGAAGCCAGTTTGGGCCTCCGCTTGCCAAATTACACAGCCCATTTTCATCAGCCATTTAATTTGCCAGTAGATAGATAAAACAATGGATCCAAAGCCCAGCGGGCCACAGTTGACTTCACCTAAATAATCCACAGGTGACAAGACAATACAGCACGTCATCTTAGACAGACTACACGCAGCCATCAAACAGAGTACATACACACTACACACTAGTAGTAGTACGTACAAGTACACTACACGTTGCCATGTGTACAGCTACCAGCAGCTGACCAGTGACCGTAGCCACGTATGCATCGCTGCACTTATTTTTCCTCGCCAACGGCCGGCCGGCCGGTGATGAACTGATGATATGGCCTGCGCGCGGCGGCGAGCGGGCTAGCTGCTTGATCATCATATGGACTGCACGGCCCTGGCCATGGCGTAGGCTGCGGCGGAGGCGAGCGCGCCGACGACGGTGGTCTGGACGGCGCTGAAGAAGGGCCTGTCGCCCGTGAAGCGGCCCTTGACGAAGCCGAAGAAGAGCAGCGCGGCGAGCGTGACGGCGACGGACACGGCCATGGCGCGCCCGGCCTCCGGCACGACCATGTAGGGGAGCAGCGGCACCAGCCCGCCGGCGACGTAGGACAGCGCGATGGTGGCGGCGCTCACCAGCGCGCGCCGGGGCTCGGGCTTCTCCAGCCCCAGCTCGAACTTCATCATGAACTCCAGCCACGCCTTGGGGTTGTCGCGGAGGGAGGTCACCACGGGGCCGTACTCCTCCGGGCCCAGCCCGTACTGCGACAGGATGTCCGCGATCTCGGCGGCCTCTGCACATGCATGCATGCGAGATGTATATTAGCCGTCAGAAGAGAAGAAGGTGCATGGGCTCGTCGGGGCGCCGCCGCGCGCGGTTGCTTTGCTTACCGACGTCGGGGACGGTGTCGATCTCATCCTGCTCCCGCTGCAGCTCCCGGTTGTAGTGGTCAGCCTCGCTCTTCGCCGCCAGGTACCTGACAGATACACGCACGCACGCACAGCAACTGAAACGGTTAGTTTTGGTGGGTGGGTACTGGGTAGTTGGTCCCAAACGTCATTTGGGCTCAGATTAGTACGGGCCCAAATGCATGAGTGCAGGCCTATTTACTCCACAAGCTGTTGCAAACACAAACAAACAAATAAATAAAAGAGCACTTTGCATTGCAAACAAAGTTTTCTGAATCTCTCTCTCTCTCTCCTGTGGGTTTTTTTGTGGAAGGAATATGGTGCTAGTTTGCCTCATAAATCTCATGGACAACATTGAAAACCTGCTTGCACTGGGTCTGTAGGCATAACTGTAGGCAGTGTTCAAGTGTCATTTTTTTAATTAGTTACCGGTCCTAACATGGTTGGATCAGCTAGCTAGTACTAATTCATAAAAAAATGGTTGAATGTACCACTCTGTAAAGGCATGTGTCTTTATGTTTTTGGAAGAGAAGTATCGTATTTAGAAACGTCTAGCTAGGTTGAGTTCAAGTTTGTACTAATAAGTTATATAGATTTCAGTACCAAAACCACACTTCCAAACGTGCCCTGATGCCAACAATACTTTCAAATTTCAAGGAAATTGGTTGTGACGAGAGAGAGAGAGAGAGAGAGAGAGGTGTTATGCATGTAATGAGTACCATCGGAAAATGTTTCCGAGCATGATAAACACCCTTTTATAAATTAATTAACTGGTGATTAGGAGTTTTTCTGTTGTACTATTTTGCCACTGATTATCTTTGCATAAACTCGCAGTAATCTCCATTTTGCGCAGGGGAATACGAAACTGAAACCAACAGCTGCATGCATGATCTTTAACAACTTTGGGGAAGAAACAAAGGCAAGTGAAGCCAAGATGAGCTCAGCATCAGTTATGCTTTGCATTTCGGGTTGCTGACCGCACCACGGCACCAGTGAACTGAAGAAGCATGCATGGGGGGAAAAAGCAGGGGGGGTGTGTGATGCAGTTCTATTGATGATGCGTATATAGCTTACCCTCCGAGCCCCATGGAGATGGCGCCGGCGGCGACCTCGGCGAGCCCCGCGGTGAGCACGAGCGCGGAGGAGGCGTTGGCGCCGGACAGCCCCGCGGCGAGCGCGAAGGGCACGGTGAGGCCGTCCGAGACACCGATGATGATGTCCCGGACCACCTCGCCGGCGGTGAAGTGCTTCTCGGTGTGCTCCTCCAGGAGCAGCGGCTGCTTCTCCTCGTCCTGCACGAACGTCTTGCCGCCGTTCAGCGCCATCTCTTCTCGCGCCTCAGTATTCTCTCTCTCTCGCACGCTCAAGAAAAACAAAAGATCGCGCGCTTAGCTAAGCGCTCGTTTGATTAATCTTCAGTTTCGATTGATTACTCAGCAAGTGGACTGTGGTGTTTGTGCTAAGATCTTGCTGCTGCGAGGTTTTCTGTGTTGGCGAGGCGAAATGGGCAGAGCTGGGAGGGGATTTATAGGGGTTAGCACGGCCGGAAATGACCAACTTGGACATAGGGTGGTGGTTGCGGTTGCTTTTGTGACTTTACAGTGGGTGGCTCCACAAGGATTCAAATCAGTGTGAATGTCTGGTTTACTACGCTGATTCTCTTTGGCATCTGACTTCATATTTTCTTAGGAAAATTACAAAAAAAATCCTACACGTGTATGCCGAGTGTCTAACGGTTTGCCGAGTGTATTTTATCGGGCACTCAGCAAACATGTTGTGTGCCGAGTGTCGCTGTGGAAACATTCGGCAAGCATATTGCACTCGGACAAAAAACCCTATGTACCGAGTGCCTTCAAGTAAACACTCGGCAAACATCAGGCACTCGGCAAAATAGCAGCACGTGCCCCGGCCATGCAACGGCCGCTAGCTTGAGCGCCCTGCCATTAGCATGGCCAGTTCTGGATTGGCGATGGCACCATCGACATGGCTAGTACTTCCACTCTCTCCCAGATTCGAGCATGGAGCATGGGTTCCAGTCCGGCGATACACCCACGGTCGGACTCTACACGGTTCCAGATGAACGCACTCCAGGTTATTTCTGTTTTATTCATCGTCATTGATTTTTACATACTTTTGCATTGCATTGTAACATTGGGATAAAATATTGTAGGCTCAGCTAGAACAAGAAATGAGGCACTAGGAGGAGCTAGAGGTGAAGATGGAGGCAGAGCGGCAGAGGATGGAGGCAGAGCGGCTAAGGATGGAGGCAGAGCTGCAAAGGATGGAGGCAGAGCAACAAAGGATGGAGCTGCAGATGTTTGAATATATGAGGGGTGTTTATGCTGCAATCGGTCAACCTCCACCACCGTTTCTAGTCCCTCCTCCTCAACCTGCTCAAAATACTGTTTCAGGCACTATGAGTCGCTTTACAACCTTATAATCTAGTTTATGTAGAATCAATCTTACAAAAATGCCAAGACACTAAAAACTTAGTGACTAATGCTATATGTTTGTTACCAACTAATACTCAAGCAATTATACTAGAGTACAATGCAACTAAGAAGATATTGCTGATAGTTACAAGGGTTATACTAGTTAGGCAGCAGAGAGACCATACGTGTTGTTTAATCTTGTTTCACATATGTAATCTCTTCTCCTTTGTGCAGTATCAATCGGCGGCATCGAATGAGCCTCATGACCCAGCCCTGTCGCAGTGGAACTCGTGGCCTTGTGATTTTATTTGTATTTGCAGTTGTGGATTACATGTGACTACTTGTGATTGTGAATGAACCTATACTTGTGATTCTGAAGTTTATTTGCATTTATGTGTTGTCGATATATCTATATGAACTGCTTGTGATGTCTATTATGAACTATCTATGATGGATGTGATGTTTATTTGAATGTGGTACGTGGCTATGACCGAACCTAATAAACTGATTATTTGTGGCAGGTTTGCCGAGTGTAACACTCGGCAAAGAGGCCTTTTGCCGAGTGCTAGGGTTAAAACACTTGGCAAAGTATACACGTGGTAAAATTCTATGCATTCTAGGACTAAAATGGCTTCTTTGCCGAGTGTCTGCACTATGACACTCCGCAAAGAAGCCAAAATTCTATGCATTCTCGGGACGGGTTTGCCGAGTGCCTCCAATGTGACACATGGCAAAGGAGGAAGATTTGCCGAGTGCCTGGAATGTGACACACGGCAAAGTAGGAAGTGTTTGCCGAGTGCCTCGACTGTGACACATGGCAAAGAAACAAAGTTTGCAAGTGCCTGGACTGTGACACACGGCAAAGAAACAAAGTTTGCCGAGTGCCTAGAATTTAACACTCGGCAAATTAGGAATGTTTACCGAGTGCCCGAGATTTGACACTCGGCAAACGCGCCGTGACCGTCTCCGCTCCGTCACGTTACTTTTTTTCGCTAAGCGTCGGTTTCAGCTGTTGGCAAAGTCTTTGCCGAGTGCCTGATAGAAAACACTCGGCAAAGAGCCGTTTGCCGACACTATAGATGCCGTGTGCTGTTTGCCAAGTGTTACACTCGGCAAATCTTTTGTCGAGTGTTTTTTGGGCTTTGCCGTGCCTATGGCACACGGCAAAGCTATTGTTTCGGGTAGTGTCGGTTTCACTAAAAAAACTCATCATATAGCTGATTCCACCTATTTTCACCAAGTCACTAGTGTTCTCTATCAAAACTAGATACTTTTAAAGTGAAATCCAACACTTTTTAGAGCCTCCACCAAAAGAGACACTAACGAAAGCTTTAGCATGATCACACCGTTTTTTGTTACTTTCAAAATTTCTTGGTTGTGAAATGATGAATATTTGTAAAGTTCAAGTTCCAGAACAAGATTAACCTGCTACTGCCCAGCCCAGCGGCCGCGAGCGTTAGCCGTGTCGCCGTCTGGCGCCCGCGCCGTGCGGCCGTGCGGCGCACTAGGAGCAGCGTCACTCCAGCAGCAACCTGCCAAAACCACGCCAAGCTTTAGGTTGGGAAAAGGATCGACGCCATGCTGATGCTGCTACCGTAGTCCGCAGGGGCCAGGACGCGAAGATATGGACCGTAAAAAGATAGAAGCTGGAGCTTAAGGGCGAAAGTTTACGTACAGCTGCCTACATGCATTTTGGTTCAACCTCGACCTTTCATATTTTCTCCCAATATGCATGCTTCCGCAGGTGGGCATGTATGGTGTTTTCATGTACTGCCGTTGAATATAGCTTGAACCAACTGTGCACACACATGCTAGCTTTCCGTGCTGAAATTTCGTACCTATGGTTTAGCAGACTAATCTTTTCTGCAATAGTGTAGCACTTTAGTTAGAATCTTCATTGTACGTACTGTCAACAATTTTGCACATGTGCCATTAATTTTTACACAGGATTCACATCACATCTAAACCATGCAGTTCTCCCAAGCCATGATGCAAAGAGATGGCTACACCTAGGCAATCAGTGAGGCACCCTTTTATTTGGTATCTGAAAAAGGAACGACGGGCATTCACAGACAAGCGGAGCAGACAACCTGCGCCAAAGCTATTTTGTACTGAAAGGCTCCAACTTCTCCCACAAGCCCCGTCCAGGATAGGCTCCGCGGCTTCAACTGAGCTTTCGATGGCCCCGTTTGCGTGTGCCTGCCACAAGCCGGCTTCAGTAGTTTACTCTTGCCACTGGGTTTCAGGGAGAGGTAGGTTAACACGCCGATCCAGCTGCACACGACACGATGTGTGATCTGTGCAGGCCACTGGGGTCGAGACAAATGTTTAGGTGATCGAGATTAATTAGTACTATTTGAACGAAATCGTGAATACCGTATTCAGTGGCTACTGGCTAGCTACCCTTTGATGGCACGGAGGGTCGTTATCTAGCTTCCATGCTCTCAAATGGGATGATATTTAAGGGCACCCCGAAAAAGAACATGCTCCCTTCGTCCCAAAATAGAATCTGTTCTCGTTTCCTGAGAAATCAATTTTTTTACTTTAAACAATTATATATAAAAGAATATTAATATTTATAATACATAATTAGTATCATTGAATAGATCGTTGAATATACTTTTATAATAAATTTATTTGGAGATATAAATATTGTATGTATTTTCTATAAATCTAGTTAAAGTGGAGAAAGTTTGACATATGCGCATCTCATAACGTCCTTCTTTTTGGGACGGAGGGAGTAGACAGTATTATAGATCACCTTTCTAACAATCTATATTTGGTGTAGCAGCTATTATAGAGTATGGACAACAAAACCCAAGATCTTTTTGTTTATAGTTGAGCATTGCAAGCATGACGAACTCGTCAGGATTAATAATACACAAACAATTAATGAGAAATGAGAAAGGCCAACAAAAGAAAGGTGATATCCAAATTAATCAAGGTGCAAAGAAAGGAGAGGAAATTAAAGACCAAATCCAAGTGCACTGTTGGTTTGAGTTGGCGGCGGGCCACCATGGCGGAGATAAGCCGGTAGGGGGAGTGTGGCCGCCACACGCCTCATGCCCTTGTCGTCAACCTTTTTTCATGGCCAATGCATGTTCGCTTGAACTTATCAGGCGACTTATCAGCTAGAATCTACAGTGTTTTTCTCTCACAACAAAACAATTTTAGCCGGCTTATTAGCTGGCTTTAATACCAGCCGAACAGGCTGATGGGATGATATGACAGGAGCTTTAGTTAAAAGAGCTAGAGACCAAAACAAGAGCAGACAAGCGAGGCTGACCTGGAACAAGATTGCATCGAGATGTTCAAATCGTCTTTTTATTCCTTTCTAGCACGAACGTTGACGCCCACTAGCCGCTGTCTCCACGCAGATTATATTCCAGCAATCTGGTGATCATATCGATTGGACGACTGGTGATCTGGGACTTTGATTTGGGTGAGAATTTGTTACTTTTTGCCAAACACAGCGATGATTTAAGGTGCAAGCATGGCCTCCGGATTGCTTCAACTAGCTCATTTCCATTTGCTTTTTTTTCTCGGTTTCTCATTTGTGGTACCAGCAAGAGGAATGATTGTTGCCTTTTTTCGCGAGCTACGAAGGAAAGATTGTTACTTTTTTTACGTTCTGCCATGCATATCGTAGTGACATTTCCAGACGTGCTTCAGGGACTACATCCTCCACATGAATATATATACTCTCTTTTCTTTATTACATATAAATATGCAATCCATTTCTGCTCCTCCTAAGCTACCACGTAAGCAGGCCCGATGACACTCGACTTTTCTGTATATATATTCATCCTCCACATGAATATATATAATCTCTTTTGATTCACCTTTGCGTGTGCCTGGCACAAGCTGGCCGCCAGATGACTGGATCTGCTGTC